TCATCATCATCATCATCATCAGCATCATCATCATCATCATCATCATCATCTTCATCATCTTCATCATCATCATCATCATCAAATCAGCAGCAGCAGCATCAGCATCATGATCAGCATCAGCATCATCATCATCATCAGCAGCAGCAACATCATCATCAACAGCATCAGCAGCATCGTCGTCATCATTAGCAACATCATCAACATGATCATCAACATAATCGTCATCATCATCATCATCATCATCATCATCATCATCATCATCATCATCATCATCATCATCCACATCATCATCATCAGCAGCATCATCATCATCATCACATCGTAGTCGTCATCACCATCACCATCATCAGCATCATCATCAGCGTCGTCGTCATCACCAGCATCAGCATTATCATTTTTCTTATAAGTATCATCATCCTCAGCAGCATCATCAACATCATCAGCATCATCAGCTTCCTGCCTCCTCCTCTTGCTTCCTCCTCCTCCTCCGCCTCCTCCTCCCTCCTGCCTTATCCTCCTTCCTCCTCCTCCTCCTGCTGCTCGTCCTCCTCACCTTGGTCTTTGGATTATTCGTCCGAACCATCCTTGATAGTATTAGTATTCGTTGTTCGTGCTATTCTTCGCATTCGTATAAGTAGTAGTTGTAATGCGAATAGTAGTTGCGATACTCATTAAAGGTATGATTGTTCTGTTGTGACTATGATTCGCCTTCTTACGATTATTACTTTTTTTTATACTGGTAGTATCAGTAGTATTGCTAGTATTAATCAGAGTTCGAGTATGATTAGCTGTATGATCATATTTGTTCCTCGTGAGGTTACTACTATTTGCACCATCATTACTATTGATAATAGTATGATTAGTCGTACCTCAAATATTAGTACCCGTGTTCGTCTTAGTGTTATGTCTGATCCTCTTCCTCCTCCCCCTCCTCCTCCTATCCTCTCCTATTCCTCTTCCTCCTCCTCCTCCTCCTCCTCCTCCTCCTCCCCCTCCTGCTGACATCCCCGTCCTCCTCCTCCTCCTCCTCTTCCTGCTCCTACTGACTCCTCCTCCTCCTCCTCCTCCTCCTCCTCTTCCTCCTCCTCCTCTTCCTCGTCCTCTTCCGGCAATCCCTCCTCCCTGCTGCTCCGTCGCGTGGCAGAGGAGACCAAGGCCAGAAGAGGAGCGGGAGGAAAGGAGGATGAGCTAGCCCAGGACGTCCCCAACAAAATACTGCAAAGAGGCCCCCGAGAGTCTTCACAAGAGACTCCAAGAAGCCTCCCAACGAGGCGTCTTGTCCACGACCGACATGGCCCAAGAATGCCCCAAGAAACAGTCGAGTCCTCCGCTTCATCCTCCTCCTCCTCCTCCTCCTCCTCCTCCTCTTCCATCTCCTCCTCCTCTTCCATCTCCTCCACCTCCTCCTCCTCCTCCTCCTCCTCGTCGCTCGCCACGAACACCCCAACATGTGGTACCAATGATACAAGATGGGCCGGCGGAGTGAGCGAAGCGATGAAGAAATCAAGCCATCGGAGTTATGGGCGCTCCAACTCCTCCTCCTCCTCCTCCTCCTCCTCCTCCTCATGCTCCTGCACCTCCTCCCCCCTCTGTTCTTCCATCCTGCTCCGTCCTGTCGACCCCGCCCATCATCCCTCTGAGTCCTTCTTGTCCTCCTCCCCCGCCCCCCGCGGCACAACCGCTGCCCGGCAAGGCCTCCCAAGTCAGCTCCTCCTCCATTCGGCATCAAAGAAAACAAAAGGAACGAGTCCCAGCAATTGCTCGCCGTCTTCAGGCCTCCCCCCACAGGGCCCGGGACCGTCACAAACTGGTCAGAATTGAGACGTGGCCATGAAGAGAAATCTGGAGCTCAAACCCGTTTCATTCCAAACCCCCGTCCTTCATGGCGAACCTCCGTCATCGCCCGACGTCCTCCGTCCTGATGGTCCCTCCCATACACCCCCTTCTGCCCTTCCTCCCCATCCTCCCCCGTTTCCTCCTCCTCCTCCTCCTGATCCTCCTTTTCTTCTTCCTCCTCACCGTCCTTCTCCTCCTCCTCCTGACCCTCCTCCTCCTCCACCTTTTCTTCCCCCTCCTCCTCCTCCTCCTCCTTCTCCTCCTCCTCCTCCTCCTCCTCCTCCTCCTCTTCTTTTTCTAAAGATTAGTTTGTTTATGCGAATTCTCATGTATTAGTGCTAGCATGAGTACTATTAGGAAATAGTCGCTAGTATTACAATTCGTATGTGTAGTATGATCAGTGTTGTTGTAATTCGTATGAAGAGTATGCCTCTTAGTACTATTATGATTATTGCTATTATGACGATTCTTTATGCGTGTTAGTAATATTATCATTATTCGTCTTCTTGTTTTTATTAGTATTGATCGTCTTCATAGTTCCCCTCTTTAAAAAATAGTATTATTGTCATTGAGAGTCGTCGGTGTCCTTCTCTTCCTCCTCTTCCTCCTCCCTGTCCTCCTCCTCCCCCCCTCCTCTGCCTCGAATTTTTCTCAGTATTCGTACTACTCTCAGTATTATGACGATGATTAAGTGTGTCAGTCGTAGTATTGTTATTATGTTTATTCTGGTACGTATGAATACTATGACTATTGTTAGTATCCGTAGTCATATTCTTCTTCGTCATATGAACTCTTAGTATCACTATTAGTATTAGTATTATAAGTAGTAGTAGTAGTCGTAGTAGTAGTAGTAGTAGTAGTAGTAGTAGTAGTAATAGTAGTAGTAGTAGTAGTAGTAATAGTAGTAGAACTTATTTTAGTATTATGTATGTTGTTGTTCTTAGTATGTTTCTGTTGTCTCCTGCGTTTCATCATCGTCCTCCTCTTCCTGCTCCTCCTCCTCCTCGTCCTCCTGCTTCTATGTATTAGTATTATGACTAGGAACATTCCTAACCGGCCGCTCTGCGGTTAATCGGAAGTTTCTGTATATAGAAGAAGGACCGTGCGCTTCTCGGCGAATCGCGATGATAACGAACGTGAGGATCAAGAGAGCGAGGCTCGCGAGGGGGAGGATCAGGAGAATGAGGGTCACGTGGGCGAGTATCGGGAGAGCGTGGAGCAGGAGGGTGAGGATGTGGAGGAGGGTCAGGAAGGCGAGGATGACGATCATGAAAACCAGGAGGGTGGGGATCGGGCGGGCGTGGCGCCCCCGGCTGCCATGCTGGCCTCCTCCTCCTCCTCCTCCTCCTCCTCCTACTCGTTCTTTTCCTCCTCCTCCTCCTCCTCCTCCTCCTCCCTCCAACTCCCCTTTGTCCTCCTCCACCTCGCCCTCCTCTTCCCCATCGTCATCGCTCTCGCCTTCCTTGAGTCTTCGGGCTGGCACGAGCGTCCGCATCCCCTCGGCCTCCGAGATCCGCAGGGGAATTCCAGAGTCGCTCCAGGCCCTACTCCTCCTCCTCCCTCCTCCTCCTCCCTCCTCCTCCTCCTCCTCCTCCTCCTCCTCCTTCTCCTCCTCCTCCTCCTCTTCCTCCTCCTCCTCTTCCTCCTCCTCCTCCTCCTCCTCCCCCTCCTCCTCTAGATTCAAGACCCAGGGCGCCCACTCCAGGGATGGAAATTGGGCCTCCAGAGCCTGCGTGTTCAGGGGCCGAACATTTCGGGCCCACGAAACACGCTGACAGACCAAGGATAATACGACGTGCAAGACGTGAAACAGCATCATGACATAATGACGAGGCATTGCAGAGCAGCGGCAGAAGCATAAGCAAGCCACGAAGCATAGACCAATGGAGCATACGCCGCATCACGAGTGCGACGCGCGGAGAGCTCATCACCATGCTCTCCCCCTCACATTCCAATCTGGGCTCAAGCCTTGCATCGATCATGCCACCTGCACTTTGAACTGGATCTGTCTCGGATGATCGCCCCCTTGGGATTTCCAGTCTCGAGATGGGGCCATCGAGACGCCCGGCCAGCAGCGCTGCCTTGAAGAGGCCAGCGGCCTGCCCCGCGCTCCGGGCGAAACCAGCCGGCAACCGGCGCGAGTTCCAGGGCGGTGACTCCAGCCAAGATCTTGGCAGCGATGATGAAGCCGTGGCCTCCGCGGACAAGAGGGCCTCGAAACGCGCTAAGACCGCCCCAGTCGTTCTCGATCCCGGCAAGGACTCGGGGGGAAATGACCTCCCACGGACGGGCCACTCTCCATGCGCGCCCCGGCAAATCTACGCGGCAAAAATGTTCGTGGCTGACGCGCCTGCTGTCCAGGAGGCGTTCAACGAGGGGAACGGGTAGTTCCGCAAGGTGTTCATCGACAGCCTCGTGCCGCGCGACGTCTCGTACGCGGCTGTGTTCGACGCGCCCAAGACGCAGCGGTGGATCCAGAGAGCCATGCAGATGAGCATGGATGCCTCGAATGGGCGCCTTGTCCGAAGGAATAAAACCGTTTACCGTGGCGAAGCGCGCCAGCTCACCGAATGTCTTTGCGTACAGAACGTCCCATTGTTTACCTGCCAATTGACCAGCCGCCCACGCGTTCTGCAAACAAACATCCAACGGAATGCCATTATGTACGTGCGTCACTGTATACTGCATTCCTTGTTTTGAGCACGCCGTCCCATGGCAGCTGCGCTGCTGCCTTCTTGCTCTGGTTAGCTGGAGGCTTCCCCGCTGGTTTCGCTGCAACTCGTTTTACTGCCCTTATTTTCGCACCGGCTTTTGCCACTCGGATCTTGGCAAAGCGTTGCTTCTGGTTGGGATTTGGTACTGGCATTGAACTTGGTGCGAATATGCTGGGGAGGCCGACGTCGTCCTCCCCTGTGCTGGCAGACTGCTTTGGACCACACGGCCCCCGCGGTGACTCTTTGGGCTCTGATTGGAAGCACAACGGAAGGCCAATGCCGTTCGTGTCCAGTGCTACCTTTTCAGGCGTGATTGCATCAGAAGCTGCACCATATGGTAATAATATGTTTAACATATTTTTGACCAATACCAATTCACTCACTGACAAATACCCTCGGATAGCTCCTGTTTTGGGGCACCTCTTATGCCATCTCGTCGTTGAAGGTTCTGCGTGTTGGTCTTATGATTGTATAGTTCACAATATTGTTTGTGTTGCCCGTTGCTGACTGCGCCACGCTGTTTGCACTTTCGCCTGGTGAAACCAAGTGGGGCTTTTCCCCAATAACAATCCCCCATCCATTTTCGAAGCGGGCGCCGGGCAATACGCCACCTGGGTTGAGCTGCAGCATCCGCTGGGCCAACGGTAAGTTCCTGACGACGTCAGCAGCTGTGACATTATGAGCCTTATCGACCAAAGGTCCAAACACAGTAGCAGCACTGCCGCGCGTGGATGCCTCATTGACCATCAGGAGAATATCGTCGGCGTACGCTTGGGTCGTGACATGAGGATTTGCCAGGCGCTTCTTGCGCGGGGCACTCATGGCCAAGAGAAGCCAAACAAGTAGCTCTGTACACGGAAGCATATGTAGAACTCAGACCTGCGTCACGGTGGCAACTACGGAAGATGGCGTTATTTTGTTTTTGTTCGCGGCCAAATGACATCCAGACGCGGCCCAATGGAATCCAGAGCGGGGGAAGGGGAAATCCCACCAGCCCTTTGGGCGTGAGTGGTTTAGAGAGCCCGCTCTGTTCTCAACCCCCTTCTTCCCCTTCGGGGAGGGGTTTACCCCTCCCCCTACCCCCTCCCCCTGGAGAGGTCCTTTCGCGGGTGGTTGGAGGGGTATTTTTCGACTCCTGGGAGGGCTAAACAACGACACCCCTCACGAGGATTCTGGCCCCGACGGGGGGGGGAGAAAAAACATGCCCCTCTTCTTTGAAGCCATAATCATTGATTTTACTACGGTGTTGGCCCCATTTTGGCCTTCTGAGGGGGCAGCGCTAATTAAAGCCCCCCTCCTCTTTCAAGCCAAAATCATTGATTTTACAAAGGTTGTGGCCCCATTTTGCCCTTCTGAGGGGGCAGCGCTAATTAAAGCTCCCCTCTTCTTTGATCGATTTCCTCCAAGATGGCCCCAAGAAGCGCCCAGGATGCACCAAGAGGCCCCAAGATGGCCCCAAGAGGCCCCCAGAAGGCCCCCAAGAGGATCCCAAACGGCCCAAAGAGGCCCCCCCGAGGCACCCAAGACGCCGAAAAGCCCATCAGGACGACCCTCTACTCGCCTGGGCGTCGTTTCTGCACGGGCAGGATGAGGGGCCCGAACGACTCACACCAGGACGAGGGGCCCGAACAACTCACACCACGAGAAGCCCGAACGACTCACACCAGGACGAAGAGCCCGAACGACTCACACCACGAAGAGCCCGAACGACTCACACCAGGAAGAAGGGCCCAAACGACTCACACCACGACGAGAAGCCCGAACGACTCAAGCCACGAGGAACGCTTTCTCTCCCTCCTCCTCCGCCTCGTCCTTCTCCCGCTCCCACCACAAGGAGGATGTACAAGGAGGCGGGAGGAAGGAGGAACAGGGGAGATATGGGGGGGCAGGCGGAAACACGCCTGAAAAACACGGCTGTCGGCATGCTTCGCTAGAGTTGCTGTTTTGAGATGGGCTGGTGGGGATACGCGAAGCGTGAAGAATTCTATACAAAACGGGCGTTTTGTACAGAATTCCTCCCCCCCTCTGATTTTTGGGCACGCTCCCGGGGTCCCCGTTTCTGTTTTCCTCCCTTTTTTTGTTCTCTCTCTCTCTCTCTTTGTCTTTCTCTTTGCCACATGGTGTCCCCATTTGCGGCCATGAGCGTGCCATGGCCCAGATACTCATGCACGTGCTTATATACATTCGCACGCCCGCCGAATTCTGAGCTCCGATTGCGTTACCTGGTGGATCAGGTGACGTTCACCACCACCACCTCCCCCTCCTCCCCCTCCTCCTCCTCCTCCTCCTCCTCCTCCTCCTTTTGTTTCTTCTCTCCTCCTCCTCTTCCTCCTCCTCCTCCTCCTCCTCCTCCTCCTCCTCCTCCTCCTCCTCCTCCTCCTCCCCCTCCTTGTCCTCCTCCCCCCCCTCTTCCTCCTCCTCCTCCTCCTTGTTGTTCCCCTCCTCCTCTTCCTCCTCCGCTTCGCCTTGCCGCCGCAGCCGCCGCCTCATGAACGGCAGCGCGCCTTTTCCGACCTCAATGTGTGGCCTGCTGACAGGGGTCCCGGATGCCCTGGCGATCTTCCTCCTCCACCCCGCCTCCTCCTCAAGGCCCCCCTCCACTCCTCTTCCCTCATCCCTCTCCGCCGTCGCCAACGCCGCCGCCGCTTATCTACGCGAGAGTGCGCGTGAGACTCGAACTCCGAGGCCGACAACAGGACCAGAACACGCTAACCACCTTGGAAGATCAACGCTCCAACGAGGCCCTCCGAGGCCCCAGGGAGGCGCTCGGGAGAGTTCCAAAAAGGCAAGCCCCGACGCCTCACGCGCGCCTCTCTCCCGAGTCGCGAAAACGTCGAGCTCGGAGGGGAAGCGTCGACCTGGAATCGACGATGCATCGCCGTTGGTTACCAGCCTCGAACGTATCCCTATTCCTAAGATTGACACACAAAAAGGCGATGACAATCTCAGGGATTCGCCATCAAAAAACAAGGGAACCCCTAAGATTGGCATCGTGATGAGGAGGAGCCCAGCATAGAGATAGGGATTGTTCCAGGCTGGTATGATGAGTCGGCGGCATGCCCCCCGATAGCAAGAGCGCATGATCGAGGGCGGGGTTTCAGCTCTCGCAGGCCCTTGTCGGCGATGTACAAGCGGTCGACTGGGGGTGCCTTGCACGACCGAACGCCGGGCAGAGGCATCCCTTGTTCTAGCCCGCAACAGGTCTGACGGAAACTACACGCGGATACGTTCCCAGCCGACACGTGCAGGGGCCGCGTAGCAACGCACGCGCATACGAAACGCGCGAGGGATAAGGAAAGTAGAGAAGGTAGGGGAAGTAGAGGAAGTAGAGTAATTCCCGATGGGTGAAGTAGGGTAAGTCGAGTAAGTCTCTAGAAAGAAATGGGGCAAACACCGAATCATGCAAAGGAGGGCAGGTGAGTGAGAAAACACATACGGAAACTGGAGTAAAAACTTACCCCCCAAACTGGGGGAAACCGATGCTCAGGGCAGGGGAGCCTCTGAGGGCCTCCTTGGGAAGGCTCCAGGAGCGGTTTTTTTTCGGAAAACGTCCAACGCGAAGGCGCAGGTTTGTAATGCGTCATCAGATTCGATGGATTCGCCAGGTTTCCTGGATCTCGCCAGAAACGGAACAAGGGGGCCTCTGAGGTTTTCCTTGTAGAAGCTCCGAAAGCGGTTTTTCTTAGAAGAACCCACGCGAGAACGCCAGTTTGGAATTTCTCATTGGATGCGCCGGAATTCCCGGATCTCGCCGGAAACGGAACATGGGGGGCCTCTGAGGGCCTCCCTGGGGAGGCTCCACGAACGGTTTTTTCGGAAGATGTCCCACGCGAAGGCGCAAGTTTGGAATTCTTCGCCAAATTCAAAAGATTTCCTGGATCTCGGCGGAAAGAGATCATTTTTTTATTCCGGCCGGTAACGCTCGTTACCCGGGGGGGGGGGGGGGTCGTGCCCCCCGGGTAACGGTAACGCTTGGGCTGGGCGGGGTATGGCGAAGCAGGGGCGCTCTGCGATCGCCATAGTATGCGCGCGAGCAGCACTCTCTGCCTGAGAGCACCACAGTGGCTTGCGATTCGAGTACAAGCGCAAAGCCCGCCGCGTGGTCCCGGCACCACGCCCGCGCCCGCGCGCGCGACGACGATGATCGACGAGCGACGAGCGACGAGGTCGACGACGACGACGACGACGTTTGCCGCCTGTTTCGGCCTCCGGAGGCCGTTTTCGGGCGCCGTCGACGACGACGACGACGACGACGACGACGACGACGACGACGACGACGACGACGACGACGACGACGATTCGAGTACAAGCGCAAAGCCCGCAAGCACCAGCATCGCGCATGCGAGCGCCGCAATGGCCTGCGAGCGCCCACAGTGCGCCTGCGACCACCACACCACAGTGCGCATGCCTTCGGGCACCAGCATGTTGGAGGGGAAGACCGAGACCCCCCCCGCGTACGAGCGTTACCGTTACGGGGGGGGGGGGGGGGAGAGGCCCGGGTAACGAACGTTACCCCCCAGAGGATAAAAAAACAATCTCAAACGGAACGAGGGGGCCTCTGAAGGCCTCCTTGGGGACGCTCTGGGGGCGATGTTTCTGAGGATGTCCCTCGCGAAGGCGCAGGTTTGAAGTTCTTCGCCGGAGTCGCCGGATTTCCCAGACCTCGTCGGAAGCGGAGCAGGAAGGCCTCTGAGGCCTCCTTGGGGGGGCTCCGGGGGCGGTGTTTCGGAGGACTTCCCTCGCGAGGGCGCCGGATCGCGAGTCTCCCGGCGCGCCCGGCTCGCTCGGTGAAGCGCCGGCGGCGCGTTGGGAAGCGACGCTCTCGCGCGCTGGGGGTCAAGATGACGTGGGTTCCACAGGAAGCCCCTCAAATTGTTATGTGTATTATCCATACGGTTGAACTGAATATTGTTGTACTTGGTAGAAGTATGATCGATGATGATGGTGATGCTGATGATTGTGGTGGTTATGAGCATTACTGTTATTACGCGTATCAGTTTTAGTTTTCGTATTACCGGTCGCAGTATTAGTTGTATTGCCATGTCATTGTTAATGTTATTGGTATTGATGATGATATTGTCAGAGTTTGTAATATGATTGATGAAAGTAGTCGCATTATTGAAGTTGCTAGTATGCGCATTAGTAGAAGTGGTAGTACCGCTGATGTATAAAGCTGTTATTATAACAAGCGTAGCATTATACAACGCGTAGCGCCATTAATAATATAATGCGTACTGCGAATTGCACTCAGTACTCATCGGAATAATCGTATGTTCGTTGTTAGCGCTACCATTGCTAATATTTGCGATAAAAATAGTACGGATGGTCGCCTTCTTACTCGCACCAGTAATCTCTTTTTTCCTGTTATTATGATGGCGATGTTGGCCATTATTATTACCCGCGTTGACCATTATTAATACCCCGTGTACAACCAATGTTTAGTATTATGA